CGGGGTCCGCCCACCGACTATCTAATCACTCGCCGCAGGTTTATATGTGGCGAGTGTTGAAGAGGGCACAGCGATGAGAGTCGCATCAATGCGCAAATCAACGGGCAAGGAAGGGTCCCATTTCTCGGTTTCCGGTTTCAAATGGTTTCTTCTTCATCCCTGCTCCACTGACCACCTCTACCCTTATTTCCAATGAGCTAACTTTTCATCGTAAATTCTGCCTTCAAAACAAAGCGAGGTCCGACGTGTAAATGGTAGCAGATGGTCTGGAAGCTCTCGTAGAGATCTGCGGGTTCGAGCGGCCCCCTTTGGGTAAAGAGCAGTACCCCTAATCCAGCTTTGCTATGTCTTTCAGAGCAGAACTGCCGTTAACAAAAGTAGGTAGTAATCAAAAACAGGTTAACGAACTATTTTTCATCCTTCCCCGCTCCTCTCCCTAAGCTTCCACTTTTGATTAATGGATTGATCTGTTATAAAGGACGGGCTGGAATGGGAGCGATAAATTAAGGAGAAGTCAAATAAATTTGGAGGAATTACCGATTTGTTAGAGCACTTGGTAGGATAAAGGGCAATGTAGAATACTCCTCAAGAGAGCAAAGTGAGGAGGTGTCGTTGTGAAAGAATTGGCGTACGGAAGCCTCAACACAACTCTCACGGCATGAACTAACTCGTCCTATCTTTCCTGCTAGGACTTCATACTTCTTTGAGAAAGGGTCAATCTTGTGAGAATCCCCGTACATCATTCGAGTTTTTTTCATCGACAACAGGAAAAGTTTCACAAATGAATACGAAGCAATTTACAGGCAACTACGAACCACTACAGTGTGATGCGAAAGCGAAAGTGGTGCTACTGCGTGGATACAAAGACTGGTGAAGAAGTTCCAAAAACACGTACGAAGAAGGAAGGGACCGACACGATCAAGTGTGGAAAAACTAGTAAGTTCATACCAGCAGAGTTTTGGCGTAGGCATGAAAGATGAAAGTTTCTTCAGCTTAGGTATTTTGTACGAGTCTTTGTAATGGTGAGGTCAACCTCAATAGAAATAGCTTAACTCTTCAGACTACACGATTTCCCAAGAGTTCCTCTACGACTCGAACTTTGGCCAGAAGTCTTACCCAGTTTCAAAAGAGACATGTATGATGGACAGAAGCAAAGGCGTGGCTTGCAAAGAAAAAAAGCCCTCAGTCAGAGTCAGTTTTTCTCTTTCAAAATTACATGTGTAATATTATTTTGAGACAAAAACAGCGATAGCCACTATGAAAGAGACAGATGGGTAGTGGACGGGGTAAAGCGTAGACAATAGGTGGCACTTTCGCGTCAGGAGGCGCGCTATCGAACGCATGATAAAAGGCCGATTATGCCCAAAAATGCCCAAAAACGCCTTTCCGGTACTCAATAGCGCAAGAAAGTTATAATGTATTTGATGCTGAACCTCTAGCGACTGTTGTTCCTTTTCAAGTGCATTGTAATAGGGTAACAACTGTCTGTCAATGGCTATTAGCATGGTGTCAGTGTTCAGCTTCAAGCGACCTCTGCTAAGACGTGCTCACCTCGTAATCAAAATGCTCACTGGGGTCACATTTCTCGGGATGTTGACAGTCTTTCTTGCCTTTTTTACCGACCCCTTTGGCACCTCTATTTTTATTTTCGTCGGTATCAATTTGTCGCAAGCATTGCCTGTTCACAAATAAAGAGCTCCCCCTTATTACCCAAGAAGGCAAAGCATAACAGCATTGGCCAAATTTCAAAAACAAAGAAAAAGAAGGAAAGGAAGCGAAAAAACATAAGAGCGGATAGAAAATAACCGACACAGAAAGAATACAAAAGAGAGGGTGCTGGGCGCATCACTGTCCTTTGAAGTCAGTAGAATATTGAACACGCCTTTCCCACAACTCCTGCTCCTTCCTGTTTCCCTGAGCAACAATTTCAGTACTATTTCGACTACAGTACATCTTCTTGTCTGGCATTCGAATATCTTGGCTGTGGTGGAAACGGAAACAACTACAACGACTCCTCTACATGCATTCATGATTGTCTTCTCGGTAAAAAAAACTTTTGAATTCGATTTAATCCCGCATGTGTAATCGCAGTGTGATTCTTTAGTGGATGGCAGTGGTTGCAGCGGAATGAATCCACCAGCCCGACTATCAAATGGTGAAGCAATAAACTGCAATACTCCACAACTTAGCTTCCCACCTGGTAGAGGCAAAATTTACAACTTTGTAAAAAAAACTAGCCCTCCACTCAAAAAAAAAAGCTGGTTGCCCTCTTTCCACATCTTCGCACGTGCACTCAGATGGGGCATAAAATTAGGTTTATCCCTCTCTCCTTCTGTGAGAGAAATCAGAAGACAGAAGACATGATAAGAATCATTTCAGGGTTTTCTGGCCCAACTCCTCCTCCATACGTCGGTCCTAAGCTCACTGACGGATGTCCGGTGAATCATAAGTGCCTCAACAAAGGATTCATATCGCTGTGTTGCAACAATCATAACGAAGGTAAGCCCCCGAGCAGAAATAAGGAAAGAAAAAATCCCAAGCTGGTTTGAGACCCGCAATTAATCAAACTCCTCTACTTGGCTTTCATTTTTCAGCCTACGATTGAAAATAATTTTTCAGAACCCTTCAAAAAACTCGAATTATTGAGATCAGTCACAGACAATCCATTAATTAGTCTTCGTAGGTGTACAGAGGCGGTGCAAAGACGACACTTCGTCCATGTCGCACTTCAGCGGCTTTTAGCCGCCGTTAGGAAGTCCTACAGCAAAATGCGCCTCAAACTCCCTCTACAAGTAGACGCAAGCCCTCCTTTACATTGTCAAGCGCAAGGAGACTCACAGTACTGATCTAGCTGCTACATTACTTGAATCAATTCACTGTTAAATAGTTCACTAGGGC